CATTTTTGCATCGTCATGCATATGCATCGTATGCGCGCTATACACTTACAATAACATATTTTGTGCCAGAATCTGTATTATATTATATATGTACACTATGCTCGCTGCTATATAGTGTAAAATATACCACATAACCGATGCACAGTACGCATTTATTGTGTTATATTTATATTGTGTTTACATTATATTATATACATTACATTTACATTTATATATAATACTAATATAACATACTACAAGAAGTGAGATTGAGTACGGCATATACTAGACATGACATACTGAAAACAAAATGTAGCTTACATGACCCTATATCGTATGCCATACACGCCGTCCACTGTGACATAATATTAGATAAACACGGTAAATCGTATCTGCCTTTATGGCCCTAGACAAAACAAATGCAATACAACACGAATCAAATAGTATACACACTTCATGTGTACTACTATTTAACTACTACATTCAGCGCATACTGCATGCACAAGATGTATATGGTATATAGTATAACACTATAATTGTCAATATATGTTCTACATAGCTATACAGTACACACTACATAGTATGAACTGTAATGAACGCTTAATGGCAGAATGAGCGAAATAAAAACTTAACAACTTTTTCAGTCAAAGCTAAACTTTATTTTGCACATGACCGAATAACGTAACTGCGAGACAACAATAATAATAAAGAAAACAAACATAAGACACGAAGAAACTCAAACCGTGAGCACCGGCTGGCGGCGTTTCGGAACATAGTAGCACTAAGATGATAATCACCGCAACAATAGTTCCTGACAGATAACGCTACCTGCGATAAATACATAAAAACTTGTTTTGGTGGACATATCACGAGAACGGAGAAGCAGAACAGTTCCTAAAGGCACCAGTAGACATCGCTGGTCGGAAATAGACCTTCAAGTTGTGGCTGGCGGTGAACATACGAATGTGGAATTCTGAATCCAGTAGGGAAAGTCCACTATTCGATACTTTACTATTCAGAGAGCTGCGGTTCCTGTTCACGACCTTCAAACTTCAACCTCACCTCAAGCATCAGATACGATTTGATGGTAGAGTTTTCGACGTTCTCCTCGATCAGCTGCAGAGACTTATCGAGGCCAACTTTATCAGACATGTCCAGCACTTTTTGGATGTTGGTAAGCCAGACACAGTTCACGCATCCACCGCCGCAGCAGGACAACGCGAGGTTGGACAACTGTTTGGCGGCATCGGCGTATTCCACGTACTTCGACTGACGAAAAGTGCAAGCAATGCGCGCGAAGATTCGACTGACGGCAATCAACGTGCTAAGAAACATAATTCTGACGCCAGAAGATGACAAAGGTCCAACAAACACCACAACGTCCGAACCGGAGGTTTCTTGATGGATCAAATCACTCTCACCACACCGACTTCGTCAAATCGAAGCCATCGATTAAGCATGTTACCTGCAAATCACTGACGTACGGTAAAAAAATTATCCAGTATAATGTAGGTTTAAGATTCACGCGAAGGCACACTTTTCTTCAAGGAAACCGGGGTAACAAGGCGCTATCGAGAAGAAAACCATCAGAAAAAACGAAGCCGGTAAGCAACGATATAACAAATGCACAAACTTCAATTTCGAAATAAAAAATTTAAAAAAAGCAAACTGGCAAGAAAATTTTAAAAAATATTAGCGATACGTCAGTGAACATTGACAAATTCAACAACAGAACAAAATGAATGTTAATCAATAATGGCAACAATGTACAATGGTCAGCCAAAAATGAACTAATGCGCAATCGTGTTTCATGAGCTGAAATGAAATCAGTTCGTTTCGCTTAGGTCTAGTTCTGTTCGATTCGCAATTCCTTGGAATCTATGACGACAGCGAGATGACAGGTTTCTTCGGAAGCGGGGGTTTTTGTTTTCTTTGAGCGGCATCTACGTTCACATCTGCTACGTTGCCCGGTGAAGCGGCGGTGGTGGCGGGTACCGCGGCATCAATGCAGCAATGATGATTGAATTCGAACACCTCGCCGCCACTGCAGACGCCATCGCCGTTTCCAACTCGAGTGGGGGGACTCTTCCTCAACGTGCCACCGTCCTTGCTTTGCGCGAAGCGGTCGGCGAGGGTTGTCGACCCCGAGTTGCCGCCGTCATCGTTCTCACTCGAAGATTGAGTCAACTCGTCGGAGGCGACCGTCGTCGTCGGAGCAGTGTCGCAGAGACTCGGCTTTCTGTCGTGAGGACGAGCGGAAGGCGAAGGCGATGGTGGCGGCAGGTTCCGCACCAAGTCAGGAGGGCTGGCCTTAACCTTGACCATCGGCGAACAGAACTGACCAGAGGCGTGGCGATTTGAGTGGTCTCGCGAAGTCAGACTCTCCAGCGAATTCAGTACCGCCTTCAACTCACACTGAATCTCCTTCAACGACGTGGGTGACAACGTCTTTGAGCCGATAGGGGCACTTCTTCGATTCGGCATTGCGGCGGCGATCGCGTTCATCCCCCCGTCATCATCGCCGTTTCTCGTGTACGTATAAGTATTTAGCGAAAGTCGTTTGTAAAGGGGGCCACGCTGAATACGTGGCGAAAAACAGTCCTTTGTCGAGTCGCTGGTCGGCGGCGGAGGTTTCTGCGTCATTTCGCCGTTGGTAAGCGAGCAAGTGACCGGAAGTTCGAGTAAATTCGGACGCACACCGATATCGCCAACATTGCTGAACACAGAACCGTTGCTGATGACGATTGGCGAATCACTGAAAATGTACCTTTTGATAGAAATCGAGCGCCGAAGAAGATATAATACCATTTAACACGAATACCTCAGAAATAACTCAATGAAATAAAAGACTGTGGAACAATCACAAACAACAAAAAAACAACACATACATAGTGTTAATACATTCTTCATACTATCTTATACTATTTAATCAGTCAGGCAGTTTCGATGACACTGTTGATCGTG